CCCTTCCATTCCTATTTTTTGAAACAGCTTCAGTAGAATAGGTATTATTTCTTCTTTAAATGTTTGTTAGAATTCCCCCTGGGAAGCCATCTGGCCCTGGACTCTTGTTTTTTGGGAGGTTTTTGACTAATGCTTCAATTTACTTGCTGGTTATGGGTCTGTTAAGATCTTCTGTTCCTTCCTGTTTCCGTTTTGGTAAGTTTATAGGTCTCTGGGAATGCATCCATTTCTTCCAGATTGCCTAATTTCTTGGCATATAGTTGTTCATAATATGTTCTTAAAATTGTTTGTACTTCCTTGGTGTTGGTCATGATCTCTCTCCCCTTTCATTCATGATTTTATTAATTTTGGGTCCTTTCTCTTTTCTTTTCCATGAGTCTGACTAGGGGTTTACACTATTTTCCCCCAGCACTGGAGTTTTACAGTCTTGCGTGGTCCATAAATTTGCTGTGCACCTATTCTTCCAGTTGGTCTTCTGGGGGAGGAGCCTGGCACGCTGCTTCTCAGGTGTCTTTGCTTGGGTGGAGTTGCTCCGCCCCTTGCCAGGGGGCCAGGCTCAGTGTAAGCTGGTCCTCTGTGTGGCTTTCGTTCTTGGAAGGCTCTCCGGGCTTCTTTAGAGGATCAAAATAAAAATGGCCGCGCCTGATCTCCAGCCCCAGAGCCGAAAGATCCCTATCCCCTCTCTTCGGTAAACCTGCAGGGATAAATGGTCTTCACTTTTGTGTGTGCCAATCTCTGCAGACTCCTACAGTGTGCATCCACACTGATCCTCCTGGGGGAAAGGAGGAGGGTCCTGCACATTGTAGGGCCCTGGCACAGAGAGCGGACTCCGAATCCTGTGCACACCTGCTCTGTCCCTCCAGGGGGTGAGCAGAGGGTTGTCCACTACTGTCCTTTACAGGGTTCTCACCCTGAGAGCTGTTGCCCTGCCATGCATGCACCCACTCAGCCCCTGGGAGGGAGGCAGAGGGCCGCCGCATTCCTGCTTATTGCAGGGTTCAGGCACTGAGAGCTGTCCCCGGAGTCTGCACGCACCCACTCTGCCACTCCCATGGGAAGGCGAAGGCGCTCTGAGTTCCTGTCATTTGCACGGTCACCCCATCGAGCCTCTGCTCTCAGTTTATGGCAAACCGAGCTGAGAGCCCCCTCCTGGGCTCACTGACCCTAACCATTTTCCCTGCTCCAATGCTTGGGAACTCTACTGGCTCAGGCACCCCGGTTATTTCTGTGACTCCAGGGATCCTGAGACCACACAGTCGCATCTAGAAATTTGCCCCCTTTCACCACCCGAGCTCCTTTCAGTCAGGGATGTCTCTCACTGGAGCAGACATCTAAGGGTTCTGATTTTGCCCTCTTGGGCTATATCGCTTTCTGGTAGCCAGCTTACTGAGGCTCCCTCCCCCCACTGTTTATCTTCTGATATATCCCCTCAGATTCACTCCTCTGCACCTGCTACCTTGCAGAAAGTGGTCGCTTTTCTACTTGTAGAGTTCCAGATTTTTTTTTCTTACATCTCAGGTTGAATTCGTGGGTGTTCAGAATGATTTGATAGTTATCTAGCTAAATTCAAGGGACCAGATGAAAGGAGGTCCCCTATTCTTCCACCATCTTGCCTCCTCCTCCATCTTTCCATTTAAGTAGGTCTTGATTTTTTTCAATGATGCTTTGTGGTTTTCAGAATGTAAGTTTTGCGTTTTCCCAGTTAAATTTATTCATGTGTTTTATTCTCTTTGATGCTACTGTATTTGAAATTATCTTCTTAATTTCATTTTCAGATTGTTCTGTGATGATGCATAGAAATACATTTTTTTAAATTTTGATATTGTAGTCTGCAACATTGCCAAATTCACTTATTAGCTCTAACTGATTTTCTCTTTGTGAAATAAAGGCAAACTTCTTCAACTTAATAAAGAGCATCTACAAAAAAATCTACAGCAAGATTATATTTAATGATGCTAGACTGAATGGTTTCCTACCTAATAATATCTGGAAAAAATGAAAAATGTACACTCTCACTACTTCTATTGAACATGGTGTGGAAGTTCCAGCAGGGGCAATGGGCAAAAGAGAGGGAAAGAAAGAAAGATAGAAAAAAAGAAAGAAGAAGAAAGAAAGAAAGAAAGAAAGAAAGAAAGAAAGAAAGAAAGAAAG